TAAAATGATCTGTACAAAATATAAATGTTAATTTAATAGTTTTTTTTTATGACTCTTATTAAATTGTTAATAAAATAAGGTTGTTAAAAAAAGTAATATAAAAGGAAAATACCTGATGTCATTTTACCAGATTTCGATGCTTTTACAATAACATTTTCTGCTTTTAAAATAAATTTTCTTGTACTCTTGGTCCAAATTTACCATTAGCTTCTTTTAATACATAAATAAAGGGGACAACAAATTGCCATTACAGGATATTATTGGTTGTATCGTATATGAATGGGTTGTTGATGATATGGATTGCACGACACGTTCTACTTTCTTTTCTCCCTGGTTAGACAATGATCTCCAGAGTGAAGTTCCAATTGGAAACCACTTTGATCTGAATTGTAAATATTTTCAGATCCAAACTGTTCAATAAGAGGTTTTACTGTTCCAGAAAATCATCAGCTGATTTTTGCAATCAGCAGAATCTTCTAATGTTCTTCTAGGACAAACTTCGTAACTTTTCTTGAAACAATTCGGTGAGACTTCTTAAATCTTGCTATCCAACTGTGAGATGCTTTAAATATAGGATTTAAATTTCCTATTTCTTCTTGAGCTTGTAAAGCCCATCTTTTTAAATCAATATCATGAACCATGAATCCTGATTCGACAGCTGCAGTAAATTTATCATGTGTAAATTTGGAGATGTAAGATAATTTTTCTGTACGACTTCCACCTGATTGTATTTGTTTTCCATCGCCTTAACTGACGTTCAGATGAAACTCTTCTAAATTTATTTTGTACTACTCTTAGAGGACGATTCCTTTTTCTGTCATTACTGTTTTCATCAGTTGTCCGAAATCGCCAATACTCAACAGCTCGTCTTTTATAAGAACTATCAAAATTTGTATCATCATTTGAACAATGAGGATGAGAATTTAAACTAATCTTCATGCCATGCTTTTTCGTCATCTTCAATTATTTCAAAAATATGTAATTTATAAGGTTCTTCATAATCGAGATATATTCTTCCGTTACTTCCACCCCATTATAATGAAAACGCTATCCAGTAATATTTTTTTAATGTTTTCCTTTAATTCCACTTCTGCTTCAGTTACTGGCGTTTCTGTTAAATATATTGAATTTATTGACCAATAAAAGTCTAACAACGTTAAGCGGATTGATAATCATATTCAAAGATGTTATATTTTGCTTTCTATTGCAATAAAAGAACAGTTTACACAGATATTATTACAACGAAAAGACTACACCGACTGTGAGAATTTTGTTTGCATATGATCGAATGCTATTCCAAAATATTACTTTGGTGACGGCGTATTCTATCATGCGCACTATAAAGGGTGCTACAATTTACATCAAAATTATAAATAAGATATTATAAATTATAATTTTATAATGATTACATGTAACATAGTGATATTACAAGCAAAATTATATATGTGTATTTTTTATGCCGTGTGGCGATTTAAAAAAATGTTAAATAATGACTTTGGTTCTGTCAGTTATATAAAAATGGTAGTATTTTCTGTCTTTTTAAGTTTTTAAATTTTTAAGTTTTTAAATCTTTAAATTAATTTAAAAAATTTTTATTATTTAACATGTAAAATTTGGGACTGAAAAAAAATGCAGATAATTAATCCGGTGTAAATGCAGAAAACTTTTTCATTAAATATTAAAAATATTGTTGATACTGCCAAATGTGCAATGTGAATAATACGTAACTATAGTTAATATTTTAGCGCAAAAATGTCATATAAAAAAGAGAAAAAAGCATTTTTAAAAATAATACAATTTTAATTTTTATAGGTATATCAATAACAACTAATTATTTATTTGCAAATATTATTATCAATAACAATTAATTATTATTATTTTTTTATATATTTTGTTTTTTTTGACTTTAGATTCGGATTCAGCTGATCAAATATATTTAAAAAAAATGACTTATTTTGTACTTCATTTGTAAGGAAATAGTAAAGATTTGAATTAGAGAATAAATACCATTTTTCATATCACGGACAAAACCAAAATCATTATTTAACATTTTTCATAATCGCTACACGGCATTAAAAATTAGATGCTTCAAGCTAAGTTTTGGTACCTTGGAAGTAAATTTACGTCAATACAATTTGGGTGGGGACGAGGGTGGCCGATTTGACGTGGAATGACTCATATATTTATAGGGTCAAGGTACCGATTATGAGATAGGTTCTAATATGAGATAGCGACTTAGTAACGACACCGTACATCTGAAATATATGACTTTGCGTCATTTATTCGTCGGATACTACTAAGATAATATGTGCCTTGTGCCATATATAAATGTATGTATGTATGTATGTATACAAGGTATAGTAATCGCAGTGAAATGTCTTCTACTGCCGCACCGTTTATCATTTTATTTTAAAAGTAAATTTTTCGTTAATTCTTACGAAAACAGCAAAACATTAAAAAAGGAACTATTCAATTAATATCCTCTACACACATATGCGCGATTATTATCGGACATTTTGTGTACATATATATACCTGTATGTATATACTTTAAATATTAATTAAAGAATACACATATATGCATGTGTGTGTACTTTAATAACTTTATTTTCTAATAAAATCCATATAAACAATTAATTATCTTATAACTTTACACATATTTTATAATATTAATAGTTCAAAATTTACGCAGATTATTTTATTATATTACGTTATACCTCTGATGGAAGCGCGAATTTTCAATAAACTGTCATCTTGTGAAGTAGAATTCCACATATCATAATCATCCAAATAAAAGAAGTATGTTGATTTTGAACAACAAATAAATTTATTATTCGATTATCTGGATAAATCTGTAAAAAAATTATTAATATATCAATATAATTGCTCTAAAAATGCAAGCATTAGAAGGAAATATAATATCATTAGCGGTTCTTCTATGTTAAGAAAAATTACTTTCTCACTTTGAAAAACACATACGAATAAATATAATAATAAAATCTCAAATTTTGTATTAATATAATTAATAAATATTACATATTTTTAAAATTATTATCTCATGATATTATATCGCAGAATTCTCTTTATCAAAATATTCAAAATAAATATCGGGTGTACTAGTTTCTGATTAATTTATTTTATTTTAGATTTCACAATAATTTAAAAGTATCAGATTAAGTGGTGTTAAAATATAAAATAATTTTTCATACTTTACATTATATTTATATGAATGTAAATATTTGAAAAAGTATTTTTAAAAAACAGTTTAATATCGTATACATATGTATATATTGTAAAATGTTTTTAAAAAAATTTAGCAAAAATTTAAACATTTTGTAAAAATAATTTGATATACGAAAATCTTGTTATATAAATGTTTCAGTATGTTATCGTTTCCGAGAAAGTGGGAGCGTGATAGCATTAAAAATATTTAGAATAACCTCATTGACAGTATACGTTGCAAGCAATGTAGTAAGAGCTTTATTAAACCAAGCCAATTTAAATGGATTGTTCAGATTATAAAACCAATGCTGTGTCACTTTATGTCCTACTAATTGAATTACTTCGATTTTGTGAGCAACAGGATATAAATTTTTATCGTAAACGATATCCATTTCGCTGAAAGTTATATTTAAATGTTAGACTGAGAACTTTTATAGAAAATAAAATTTTATTTTTGTTATAATTTTTTAATTTTATTGTTAGATGTACAATTTACAAACTTATGAGTACAATGTAGCAAATCAGTATTTTTAATCATATCAAATAATAATTCTTTAATTTTTAATTTACGTACAAAACAATGATTTTGTGTTATTGTGTATCATTGATAAATAACTATATTTTTAAATGAACAAAAAAATGTCATTTCTTCTACAGGTTATTACAATTTTAACATTTACCTTTAGGAAATACGATTAGCATAAAAACTTTTTTCTTATGTATGTATTTTACAACAATAAACTCAAACTTTGTAATTATAAGAATAAACTTAATTTTTACTACTTAAAATTGTTGTTTTCATAATATCTTATACTTTTGAACGTTTACAGACACAAAAGGTATACTTGTTTTTTAAATTTCATCATTTTGCATACTAATATAATTTTATTTTTAATGTAATTTTAAGCACTTGTACTCACTTATAAAAAACAAGTCCCAAAACTGTTATGTCATTATCAGGGAAATTTGGTATTGCAACATGAGTCACATTCGAAATATTGTTCGAATGTTGTTTCCATTTATTTTTATAGAACAACGTGATATTTTCAGCTACATTTTTTGCAAATTCCATGTGAAATACAGTTTCGTTTCTGCACCATATTTGAATATGTTGAGTATTATTATCAATACGTGTTAAGTAATTGGACACAATTATTGTTGCAAGATACGGCGACATTGCAGGTGTGGTATCAAAGTGTGTCCATAACATATTGTACTTATTTTCTTCCGTATTTCGCAATGGCATATTTGACAAAGCCGTGCATTGATAACATCCTATAGATATGTTAAAGGTTGCTCCTGAGTATAAATACTTTTGATCCCAACATGATTTCGACATTTGTCGGGCGCCTATTATATGAAAATGAGTAGCAGCTACCAACTATACATTTTAAAGAACATAAATGAATGAAAAATTTTTAGCAAGCCTCAAAATGTTGGGATTTATAAATGTATAAATGTAATATGTAATAATATGTACTAAAGGTATAGAAAAATCGTCTTTAAATTTAAATTTTATGAAATATTATAATTTTCGAAACATTTAATGCATAAATAATATGTAATAATAACAAGGTTTCATGTAAATGCACATTGTACATTGTTTTCATAAACACATATAATTTACTTACGCAGTTTTTTTTTTCATGTCGAAAATTCTAAAGACGTCATCAGTAAAACCATTATATTTAATATTTAAAATATAATTTCCTGGTAATAATTCATCCTTAAAAGAAACATCAATTATGTCTTCTTCAATATCATATGTCGGTTTATAAACTGTATATTTAGCATTCTCATGATATTTTTCTAAATTTCCAATTAAAACTATATTGTTAAAATATATTTTTCTAAATATACGTTGTTGAACATATATTTTGTGTTTTGTTAAGAATGTTTATGCTGATATTGTATTCGCCATAGAAAATGTTTTCTTCAATACATGATATAAACTTGATATCGTAATGGTTTGGTTTTATATATTTTGATGGATCATAGCATAAGGATGATTCATTATGCATAAAAGCCGTGTCAGCGATGAAACATTAACCCGCTACTTAATAATAGCTTTAGAAATATTATCATGTTAGAAAAGAAATATTAATTTTAAATCTGTAAAGCACACTGTAAGCAAAAGACAAATAGAGAATTTAAATATAGTATTGATGTCTTTTTTAAATCACTAGACGACACAAGAGCGCGTTTAGCGCGCGCTTTTGATTTTATTTCTATATTATTCATTTTATAATTGTCAAATTGTTAATTTTGGCGAAGACAGTTGCTTGATGCTATGAATATGATCATAATTTTAAGTCGCCCTATTTCAATTATGTTCATATAACTTTAATTAACCGAATTTTTATTTTAACGACTATTTTGTACATATACTGATAATAGAATACATTTGAGAAATACAATTTAATAATAAGTAGAAATTAAATTTTAATAATTTTCAATTTAAATATATTTGAAATTTTTCAACTTTAATGAAATATCTTATTAAATCGATATAAACTAGTGTTTATGCGTTTTTTAATATTAACATGCGTTTTGAATGTTTTATATAAAATATTTATGTAAAAAATTTTACGTAAAATATTTAGTATTATGTCTACTTTTAACTTGTGTTGTTTTTATATTCCAAGTGAGAAATGATGGTCGAATCGATAACGATTCGACTAATTATTTGTCACTAAGATTCATTTTACACTTAACAAAATTAATTTTTTCAAGCTTTATTATACTTCTTTTAAGAGGATATATCGCATACAGATTAAAAACAATCATTCTATTCTTTATTCTTCTTAATTATATATATAATTTTCAACAACAAAAATTAATATTTAATTTTTCATTCTTGATAAAGTTATTTTACTCAATGTCAGCACAACTTCAAAATCAATTTAAGTATTAAAATATATACAGATATTTTTTTATAAATAATAAAAAGTACGAGAAAATTTGGAAATCAGAATTTTAATAATCTAGTAATAAAAAAACAATTAAAAGTGTCTATTATAATATACATTATCTGTTAACTGTAGTATTTGCAACTTTCAAAAATAAAATATTCGATATCAAATTTTTGTGGGTTCAAGATTATTTTAACTGTGACGATAAATACAGGAACTTAAATTTATTTTATATTTCAATTTTATTTTAAAATATTAAATTAATTTGAGAACAAAAGTCGGCGATCGAATATATGTATATATATGACAACGAGCGAAACAATCATAAGGAACAGGTAACGAAAGACAAAGTATCAAAACAAACAAATTATAACAGCTTAACCGATATTAACAGGTGACCGGAGAATCGATAACTTGTCACTCGCTCAGCAAACTCGCTGAAGAAAAAACAAATAGAATTATATATCGCAAGCGAAAGTTATATCTTGCGGTTATTGTAAGTCATTTATAATATTTTAAATGCAGAATTATAGTGAATAACGATAATACAACGTCTCTAAATTTATTACAATATTTTATCTAATAAAATTAATAATTCACCAAACATATTACAATTCGTAAAATATTATATTATCGATATTATTTGAAATTATCTTAGGATTAAAATTTACAAATAATTTTGAATAAAACTGTTCTCTCTATTTCTACACATATGTTGGAAATATTATAAAATTTCGTCCTATCGTATGATTAAATTTTCTTGAATTTGTAGACACATATATGTTTAATATGTATGAAAATTGTTTTAACTTACCGAATATTTCGAAACAGAATGTTAATTGGAAAATTATATTAATTAAAACTATATGTTGTTTTAAAAATGAACTGCAGCAAATTAATGCTTTGGAAGTTTGCAATCTTGGAAGAATATAATATATTCACACACTTTATTAAAAATATTATATCTACCACGACGATGTTCGAAAGACCACGAAAGACTGACTGATTCTCTGTACGTGTCTTCATGATAAATATAATGTGTTAGGTCAACAAAATTTCTGAGGTCGTTTTATGTGTATATATATTTACATATATATTTGTGTGTGTGGCGGCATTTTTGTGTAACTGTTGTCTTAATTGAGCACATTTAAATTTTGCCCAATTAATTTAATAAATTGGCATTATTTATACACATTTATATGACTTATTTCGAAAAACATTTTCACTAAAAATATAGTGTAATTTCTCGTCATATACTCATCCTTCAATAATTTTATCTTAATAATTTTTTGCACAAATAGTAATAGAATTCAATTATTATAAATATATATCTTATTTAAAAAATGTAAACTACATAGTTGCACATTATTACGAATTGCAATTTTTTTAAATTATTGGAATGTTTTTCTTATACCAATCAATTTATCCACATTATTTTGTGCATTAGTTTGTTAAAACAAAATAATATTGAAAAATAAATACATATTACGAAATGTTTTATATTTTTGTTAGAAAAGAACATAAAACGTTTAAAAAATAATGATAACTATCAAATCTCAAAAATACTCCATTTGAAACAACACCATATACTTACGACGCGACGCTCCTTTTAATTTTATAAATATTGTATAAAGTATATTTTTCGGAAGAGAAACCTTGGTTCTGAAATAACAATACGTTATTTAAAATGGGTTAATTTATATTTTGTTCGAAATATACATTTATTTATAAATGTCTTTATGCCCAATATTGTGCTTTTATACTATACCTACGTCTGTATGTAAAAGTATATATTATAAAATTGTAAATATTATAATCGATTACTTATTAATCATGATATGTACTATTCTTTCGTCTTTTTATATTAATTTGTTTCTAATTTTAAAGTTTTAATACTTTGATTATTTATTACATCGTACTCTATGTGCGAAACTATAAAGATTTATAACTGATAAAATTAGTATTCTTATATAACATTTCTTTATAAACTTAATACAATATATTTTCGAAGATCTGTTTCTTTTTTTTCAATATATATATATATATATATATATACTAAATAAATAAACTAGAGATAAAGCCAAAATAGAATACAATTTTGATTATAAATCGTGACTTTCCGATGAACTATCGCGATACATCAAACCAGATGTGACAACAATTGTTGCGAATTTATATTGCGAATTTCTTTGAAAAATTAAAATATTCTATAATTGATAATTATATAATAATTATTATATTTTTATCTTTCGAACATTTATATTATGTTATACAGAGAAGGCCTCTAAAAATTTTGAGCAAAGTTTATTTTATCAAATCTCTCTGATAGCGCAATAAAATTTTTATTAATTTAAATAAAATATTTAATTCAATACTTCTGTATAATAAAAATTATTTATTTGAAACTAATAATATCGATTGTATGTAAAAAATATTTATTGTTTGATGTAAGAAAATTCTTTTCAATACAGATAATTATTTATTTGTATCAAATAAATGATTTATATAGCTGTATAGAAATAAAAATATTTTTTAATTTAATAATTTTTTCAATGCGCGTTGATACTCTTCTATATGTGTCAATTTAATTCTTGGCAATATGTGAAACATTAAATTGATTTTAATTGTGCAAGTAAAAATTAAATTAAATTATCTTTAATTTTGATTTAAATGTTTAAGAAAATTAATAAACGATACTTCTTTCCTTTTTACAATATTTTATTTAGTGTTAGAATTACTGAAATATCAATAAAGTATTAAATCAGCCAAAGATATCTGTTAAAAATTCGTACTATAAATTTACACACACAGCATGTCTTTAGTTTAATTTTTATTTTCTTTTATGTAATTGATGTAAATTATAATATTTTTAAGTTTCAAAGGCATTTTATTCGATAAATTTTTATGGGTCAAAAATTATTTCAATATTACGGTTCCGGAATCAATTATACGTAAATATGTGCGTATATTACGTATAGTAGCTTTCTTTACATATTCTAATCGATAAGCTATAAAAATATTTTAAATAAGATTCGACATTTATCATTAAGAATAGTAAGAAACGGAATAATAAAAACTCAAATGAAGTAATAAGATAATTTTTTAATATTAAAATTCATCGCGTTGATTGAAACAAGCACATGTTAGACGCGCACTTATTATAAACTTGTGACAAATGTTATTGCTGTGTTATTGCTATGTGACAAGTTATGCAATATTGTTTGACCTTGCAGTTTTATATCGTCATTTTCAATATTTTTCTATTAATATATATATATATATATATATATATATTAAGATTAATATTTTATTTAAATAACTTTTTAAAATTAGAGAGAGAGAGAGAGAGAGAGAGAGAGAGAGAGAGAGAGAGAGAGAGAGAAATGTGTCATGTTATTTATTATAAACTAAAAAATGCTAATCAATCACAAATTCTACATAATTAATAATATTGAATGTAAAAAATAATTAATTTCTGCAATAATATATAATTTTACTACTTCAAACAAGATCGCAAAAACATAAAAATCTTGATGCATGCAGTTATAACGTTTTGTAAATATAAAAGGCAAATATATAAATCGGATAGTAATACATCTAAATAAACAATATTTAGAGCAGTAAAAGATATAGTAGATACAATATAAAAAATTATTCATATAAAGTATGTCCACGTATGCAAAGCTGCAATTTTTTTACATCCACCGATTAGAAGAAAAATCTTGCAAAATATTGTCTCTGCTTCTCGATTTGTTTTTGCGAATAATTTGAATCTTGATTGTAATATAGGAATATAATTCATCCTTATCTATTACACGGTCACTCATCTAAAACAAATCGTTTCATTAATTATAATATAATTAGATAAATATAGTAATCTCATTCCGCATTATACAAATCTTAATATATATAAACAAAGATTGTCATAATAAAATCAACATACTAATTATATAACAAATAATCAGATACAAAAATAATATTCAGAAATTAATCACACAGATAGAACAATTTTTCATTTTCTTTCGCTTTCCATAATAATATTTATTAAATATACCTCCTTTATTCGATGTCTTCTAAATAGATGTTCTGTATTCACTTTAATTACGTTAGCTTCTACAATAATTTCAGATTGTTTCTCTATTAACTAAAATGTATAATTTTAATACCATTATTAATGAACAACGTTATGGTAACATTATGAAAATTATTTTAAACATTAAATAATAATTATTAATATCACATTATTATCATATTTTGTATACATATTTAAACATGTAACATTTTTACCTCAACTAGATTTTCGGAATATACGTTATTAATCATAATAATAAATGCTGCAATTATATTAACATTTCTAAAAACAAAAAAAATCAGATGTATATATATAATACATATAATAAACTTTTGTACAAAATATTTATAAAAATATGTCACTTTACTTTGGTTTTATTACGTTAAAATTATCGAATAAATACGTCAGTATAATTGGATTCTTTGCATGCTTCGTAATAAAATGTAAGAATGTGTTAACGAGAAATCGATTTTCCTGTTTTGTATTAATGTACTGTTTATAACTTAAATAGTATTTGATGAAATCAGTATCTCCAATGCAAGCCAAGTATTCTGAAAATTTATAGTCAGCTTTCATTACTCCTATGGTATACACTAATCCAAAAGTGGTCTCATTTCTCGTAGTTATCATCAAACCTCTACAATATGTCCATGTCTTCCACCATGGCAAAAGTCTAAAATATAAATTGAATTTAATTTTCTTATTAAAGATTTTCGTATTAATTCATTTGAACATTATAAAAGATATCTACAAGGAAATTTGATTACAAAAAGCTAAATATATATAACAATATTTACTTGTGTTTTATAGGATCTTTGATATGTTGTTCTAATTTATTTTTTGCTTTTTCTATACAAATGGTGTGACCAAAAAAACATGCCCATCTTGCAGCTTCTTGTCGTAAACATATTCTAAGTTCGTCTGCATCATCAATTTCTTCATATTGGATTTTTTCAAGTAACTCGTTTAACATGAATTTTAGCTTATCTATTCTATCCTAAAAATCATTAAATATATATTTTTTTATTAATATGTTTATAATTATAATTTATCGACAAAATTTTAAACATTCAGTTATGTATCCAATAACAATGTTATATATTAATATTATTCACAGTAGTGAAAATCATACACTTTGGGAACTGTTTATCGCGTGAGTGATTATTCAAACTGAATTTGTTTGCACATTTATGTGAGACGTAATAATATGTAAAACTTTATTGCTAGATATATTTCTCTATAATATTTAAATTATTTGTGATCAATCAGTGTATATATAAATATTCAAATGTAATACTTTCATTGAAATTGATTAGTATTTACCGCAAATTTTTTAGTTTTTTCGTCCACTGGAAAAGTACTAAACATGTTTTCCAGAGCTTTAAACATAGGATACCATGCGATATAATCTATTTCTCTATCCAAATACGATGTGATACTCCAGAATATAGAGGCGTTGAGGTGACCTGCTATCACTAAATGAAATGCATCATCGATAATTTGGGCACGATTAAGAACATGAATTGTCGTAAAATCATCATTGTATAGATAATCTGAAATTCTTCGCCAATTCTCATTATCATAGTTAACGCGGTAATATCCTGTTGAATAATAAATAAATTTTAACAATTTTTATTATTTTGAATAATTTTTATTATTAATATACACTTAATTTCAAACATTTTTGTTTAATATTTTTGTTTATATAAATTATAAATTAAAAATGTATAAAATATTCAATAAATTGCAAATACATATTTAAAATTAATTATAAATTAAAAATGAAATTGTGCGAGATATTGTTGTATAGCATAAAATAAAATTGATTCTAGTTGTGCATATATATATTTTATTTTATCTGTATACTTATATTAGTATACTAATTTTATAAATATAGTTAACTTTTTAATCATTTTTACTATGATTAGAATAAAATATTTGTAAAAATATAACTTTAATATTGATATTACGTAGAAAACGCCTATATATATATATATATATATATATATATATATATATATATATATATATATCTTATTAATTATATATAATAATACAGAACACAGAACATTACACAAAGCATTTAAAACTATTGTAGTTTATATAATGAATATATAATGAATATCTCTAATTTTTATATAGTACTGTATAAAACAGAAAAAATATAAAATAATGTCAATTGTGTGTGTAAAATAAAGACGAGTAATAAGTCATAATAATAAGTCAATTGGTCGATAATTACCAATTTGTTGTATATTGAATATCATCCAACCATTCTCAAGAAATGAGTTTGTTGAATTTAAATCCCATGATTTGCATAGCCAGTAGTGAGTAAAATTGTTAAAATTGGTATACGTCTGGGTCGTAAAAGTTACAGGAATGCAATCAATTTCTAATGTGTCGTAATTTTGTACCGATACATGTATGTAGCTCCCATGATCACTATAATTTCGTACTACTTTGATGAGAGGACAATGCTCTTCCAAAGTCCAATATTCCATTGTTTGTAATGATATTTCAGTATCTACATTTTTGCATCAGCAACAACTTCTTCCAAAAAGTCATAAAACTTTGACGATGAAATTGGCTAAATTTACAAAGTATGTAAATTATGTAAAGAAAACATTATAAATATGTTAAAATTGCATGTATAATTTTAATATTAAAAAAATTTTAATAAATTCTAAGAAGCAAAATATAATTGCACTTCTATTTATATATTTATATGTGGCAATAAATGCCACAAGCATATAAAATATATATAAAATAAAAATTAAAATTACAAGCGACGTGTGTTAAGGATATCGCGACCGGTAACACAAAACAATAAATAAATAAACGAGCGATTAACATGACGAAAGTAAATTTCGATTACCGAACATAATAAAAAGCGAGAGTACCTCAAAATAAAGATAGAGTCTAATCACCTAAAAATAAAAATAAGATCGCGGAATGATGGAGAGAAGCGAGACAATGCGCGGCCTCGAGGCCAGAGACTTGCGTTCGCGTAACACGTTTTGTTTCCCGGCGAAAAGTTAAAGTTTGTATCAGGTCTTTTGTGACACAAATAAAATGAAGTAAGATACATTATACTGTGCAACCCAAATTAATATTCCGGATAAAATATCCTCACCCAATCCGCGATAACGGCGAAACATAATTGACGAACAAGAACGCACCTAAATATATATCTTATATTTATATGATGATAATAACATAATATTGAATAAAATTTAATAATTTTATTTGATTTGTTAGGTATTAATAATATAGATTATATTTGATCAAGGTATTGAAAGAGTTATAAAATGATTAATAAAAGAAATAACAAAACAAATAAATTGAAGATAAAGAAAGCACAAAAAATGAAAAACATATAATAAAAGAAATCGTTCTACGAAAAAAAATGAAATGAAAATAAAGAAAGCAATGCAAAAGAGATATACGTGTTAGATATATTTAAAATAAGATAAAAAACGAATGTAGCACAAAATTTAATAAAAAGAACACATAAAAATAATACACGATAGAAAGAAATAAAGGAAATAATAAAAAGAATAAAAATTAATTAAAAAATTATTATGAAAAATAAGAAATTGAAACAAAAAAAACAATATTGAATATGTATATATGAAAAAGTAACAGAACAACAATTTGTTTCAACAAAAGCGGTTTTCATAATAAAAGTAATGAAAGTAAAAATAAGTCTAGTAGCAGATCTAGGAAAATAGCGAAATTGTAAAACTAAAAGAAAACAATACGAAAAATGTCAGAAGAAGCGAAATAATAAGGGACATTCTATAATATTTGTATTATTATAAATTATTTAAGATTTATATAATTTTATGTTTTTATATTACATTTTATATTGTATTACTCACGTGTTATTTCTATACGAGCGAACGCCTTTCCAAAATATTTCATCGGTGAAAACGTGTTGCATCATGCGCAGTATACAGGGTGCTACAATTTACATTAAAATTGTAAATTAGATATATTATAAATATATATTTGTTATAATGGTCACGTATGTTAACATAGTAATATTATAGAGAATTATATAAATATAAATATAAATATATACATATATATATATATATATATATATATATATACATGTATGTATACAAGGTATAGTATATAATCGCATAACTATTAATTAATATTTAAATATTAATTAAAGAATATATACATACGTATCCACACACGGACATGAGCGCGAATGTGTTTGTGTATATACTTTTACAAAATTAATATTTAATTAGAATCCAAAAAAAATAAAGAATTAATTACTTTATAACTTTACACATATTTTTATAATATTAGTAATTAGAAATGTACACGGACTATTTAATTATTTTACGTTATACCTCTGATGGATCGGCGAATTTTTAATAAACTGTCATATTGTGAAGTAGAATTCTCCATATCATAATCATCCAAATAAAAAGAAGTATGTTGATTTTGAACAACAAATAAATTTATTATTCGATTATCAGGATAAATCTGTAAAAAAAATAATTAATATATCGATATAACCGCTCTAAAAATACTTGCATTAGAAGGAAATGCTAATATTGTTAGCGGTTCTTCTATGTTAAAAAGAAACATTTTCTCATTTTGAAATATATACATACAAATAAATATAGTAATAAAATCTAAAATTTTGTATTAATATAATTAGTAAATATTATATACTTTTGTAGAATTATTAGCTTATAATATTATATTGCAGATTTCTCTTTATCAAGCTAATTTAAATAAATGTATGTACTAATTTTTTAAAAATAAAAGAATTTTTAATATTTTACATTATAATGATATGTATGTAAATATTTGGAAAAAGTATTTTTTTAAAACAGTTTAGTATTTTACATAATGTTGAATGTTTTTAACATAATACCTCATTGACAGTATACATTGCAATCAAAGTAACAAGACCATTATTAAACCAAAAATCCGATACTAACGGATGGTTCATTAGATCATAAAACCATTCTTCTATCACTTTACGTCCTACTAATTGAGTAACTTCGATGTCGCGAGTAACAGGATATATATCTTTACTATTGATGATATCTGTTTCCCTGAAAATTATATTTGAACGTTCAGATTGAGAACTTTCGTAAAAAATAAATCTTTATATTTTTGTTACAATTTTTAAATTTTATTGTTAGAGGTACGATTTACAAACTCATGGGTACAATTTAGCAAATCAGTATTGTAACTCGTACCAAATAATGTTTCCTTAATTTTTAATTTAAGTTTAAAACAATGATTTTGTATTAATGCGTATATCATTGATAAAAAAGTACAGTTTTAAATAAATAAAAAAATGTCATTTTTTATAGCTTTATTACAATTTTAGCATTTAGGGGATACGATATAGCATAAAAACTTTTCCCATTATATGTATGTATGTATATTAAAACAATAAACTTCAACTTTTTGAATTATAATACGAATAAACTTACTTCTTACTACTTAAAATTGTTTGTTTTCCCAATTTCTTATACTATCGAACATTTACAGAAACAGAATAAAGATATACATGTTTTTAAACTTTATCATTTTGCATGCATACTAATATAATTTTGTTTTTAATGTAATCTTAAGCACTTGTACTCACTTGTAAAAAACAAGTCCGAAAACTGTTATGCCATTGTCATGGAAATTTGGAATTGCAACGTGAGTTACCTTAAAAAAATTGTTCACACGTTGTTTCCATTTATTTTTAATGATTTTTTTAGTGATATTTTCAGCTACATTTTTTGCAAATTCAAAGTGAATTACAAATTCGTTTCTGCACCACACTTCAATGTTTTGAGTATCATTATAAACACGTAATAGGTAATTGGACACAATTATTGTTGCAAGATAAGGCGACATTGCATATGTGATAAAGGAGTGTGTCCATAACATATTATTCACAATTTGTTTCGTATTTCGCAATGGAATATTTGACAAAACCATGCATTGGTTACATCTTATAGAAATCTTAAAGGTTGCTTCTAATAACTCCTGTTGCCGACATGGAAACAATCCGGCATCTATTATCTGGAAATGCGTAGTAGCTATCCAACTACATTTCAAAGTACAGAAATTAATGAGACATTTTTGGTAAGCATAAAAATATTGAGAGTTAAAAAATCCATAAATGTATAATATGCGTCAACGTATAATATATATTTGACTTTATTACATATATTATAATAATAAAGGTAAAGAGAGATTGTTCGTCTTTTATATTTGAATTCCACGATATGTAATAATACTTGGGATACTTTAATACCTAAATAATCTATTATTAATTACAACAATATATTAATTAAAATAATGTATTAATTAAAATAATATATTAATTACGATGATTTATTTATTTGCAGATTGTACTTTTTTAATAAACATTTGTTATTTACTTACGCAGATCTTTCTTTCACGTCGAAAATTGTGAAACCTTCATCAGCTGTACCCATATATTTTATATGTAAAGTGTAATTTCCTGGTGATAAATCATCCATAAAGAAAACGTCAATTATGTTTGCTTTAATATTATACGTCGGTTTATACATTATTGTAAAATGTCTATCATTTTTATGAGATTTTCCCAAACTTTTAAATAAAACTATGTTTTTAATACATAATTTTACTGAAGGTAAATAATGTGTTGCGTTTTGCTAAGAATGCTTATGCTGATCTTGTATTCTCCATAGATAATATTTCCTTCAATGTATAATATATGCTTGATATCGTAATGCGTTGGTTTTATATATTTTGATGGTCGATAACATAAAGATTCATTACGAATAGAAGCCGTCTCAGCGATAAATATTAATCCGCTACTTAATAATAGTTTAGAAATATCATCATGTCGGAGAAAGGAATATTTATTGTAAAACACACTGTAAACAAAAGATAAATAGAGAATTAAATATAGTTTTGATGTCTTTTTTAAATCACACTAGACGACACAATAACAAGGCGTTTCGCGCGCGTTTTTGATATTATTTCTATTATTTATTTTACAATGGTTAAATTATTAATTTTGACGATGACAGTTGCTTGATGCTATGAGTATGATCATAATTTTAATTCGCCGAATTTTAATTTTAAGCAAATCGACACAATAACAAGGCGTTTCGCGCGCGTTTTTGATATTATTTCTATTATTTATTTTACAATGGTTAAATTATTAATTTTGACGATGACAGTTGCTTGATGCTATGAATATGATCATAATTTTAATTCGCCGAATTTTAATTATGTACATAATTTTAATTCGCCGAATTTCTATTCTGACAACTATTTTTGTATACATCCTACTTTGTATCTCTTTATATATATATTTTTATTTCGTTCAATTTAATCGAATATAATTACGTGCGCGAAACGAAGTTATATTATTTTTTGATAATAAAAGAGAGAGCATATGTTTATTATTATTATCCTTTAAAGGTTGGTGTTTTTTTCTTAAATTGTGTATTATATAAATCCCAAACAAACAATCACCGAGAATAAACCAACATAAAATCAATTATAATATAAATTATAAACTTGATAATAAATCTCTATATACATATAAGTATACAATGTGTCCCAAAACTATATTATGGATTTTTTCATTAGATTGATAATTAGAACGTTCTATCATTTTACTCTAGAATTTATAATTAATATATAATTATTAAAATTTTTAATTACATTGCCTCAACTTCTTATCATAACTTTTATAATACATCGCCCTTATAGAGGGATATATCAAATACAAATTGAAAACGATTGTTCTATTTTTTATTCTTTTTAATTACATATATAATCGTCAACAACAAAAATTAATATTTGATTCTTCATTCTTGTTAAAGTTATTCTACTCAATGTCAGCACAACTCTAAAATAATTTTAAATAATAAAATACACACAGATATTTTTTTTTATATAAAAAGTAAAAGGTACGACAAATTATAGAAAACGAAATTTTAATAATCTAGTAATGAAAGGACAATTAAAAGTGTCTATTATAATGTGTGTACATTTATCATCTTTTATGTAAATTGTAGTATTTTTAGGTTTCAGAAATAATTTAATCGATATCAAACTTTTGTGGGTCCACAATTATTTCAACATTACAATTTGTAAAATATTATAATATCGATAATATTTGAAATTACCTCTGGATTAAAATTTAACAATAATTTTGAATAAAACTGTTCTCTTATTCTTATACATATGTTGAAAATTCTTCAAAATTCCGTTATACTGTATAATTAAATTTTTTTTTGTATTTGTGAACAAATATATGTTTTATAGTGTAAATTTATTTTGACTTACCCAATATTTCGAAACAGAATGTTAATTGGAAAATTATATAATTAAAATTATATTGTTTTAAAAATGAACTGCAGCAAATTAATGCTTTGGAAGTATGCAATCTTGGAAGAATATAATATATTCACACACTTTATTAAAAGTGTTATATCTACCACGACGAGGTTCGAAAGACCACGAAAGACTAACTGATTCTCTGTACGTGTCTTCATGATAAATGTAATGTGTTAGGTCAACAAAACTTCTGAGATCGTAATATGTATATATATTTACATATATATTTTTGTGTGGCGACATTTATGTGTACATTTGTCTTAATTAAGCACAAAATATTTCTTAAGTTAATAATTTTTTCAATGCAGAGATATTTTTTTATACTTGTCAATATGTGAATACTTGTCATTAAATTTATTCTTTTATACTTGTCATTAAATTGATTTTAATTGTGTGAGTAAGAATTAAAATAAATATCATTAATTTTGATTTAAATGTCTGAGGAAAATAATAATCGATTTTTCCTTCCTTTCACAGTATTTTATATAGTGTCATAATTACTCAATTATCAATTAAAGTATTAAATTAGCCATAGATATCTATTAAAAATACATTCTATAAATTTACTCACATAAACATGTGTTAATTTAATATTTATTTTCTTTTATATGTGTATATTATAATATTCTTAAGTTTTAAAGGCATTTTATTCGATATATTTTTATGGGTCAAAAATTATTTCAATATTACGATTGCTAAATTATTATATGTAAATACATATGTGCGTATATTACATAGTACCTCCTTTTTTTATATTCTAATTGATGAGCTATAGAAAATTTTAAAATATATATTAATTGTTTCCCGATTTCGGTATAACGGATTTCTATCTTTTTTTATGTGTTGCAACACTGTTGTACAAATTTTATTTTGCTAAAAGAGATTCAACATTTATCATTAAGAATAGTAAGAAATGACAAATAATAGAGAAGCAAATGAAATAATAATATAACTTTTTGATATTAAAATTTATCGCGTTGATTGGAAGAACACACATAACGCGCATTTATTAAAAACATCAACTTGTGACAAATGTTTTAAAATATTTTTTCTTCTCTAGCTTTGCTTAAATCTCTTTTAAAAATAATTGTAAGGTACAATTCAGATTGACACATTTTGCAGCATTTTAAATCTATTAAAAATCAGCAAAAATGTTAATTATGTTGTACAATTTTAAATATTATGTAATGTTTTTTTATAAATATATTTAATATATTAAGATTAATTTTTATTTAAATAATTTTTAAAATTAATGTAAATTTATACAAGAGAGAAGAAGGAGGGGGGAGAGAATAGAGAAAGGTAAAGAGAGAATTGTGTCATTTTATTTATTGTAAACTAAAAAATGCTGATCATAATTAATAGTATTAAATGTATAAACAATTAATTTCAGTAATAATATATATATAATTCTACTACTTCAAACAAAATCGTAAAAATACGAAAATCTTGATGCGTGCAGTCATATAGTTTTATAAAGCTAAATATAAAAGCATCGGATAGTAATACATCAAA